AAAAATATATATAAAATCTACGTGTCACTGTTTTCTCTCTTTCTTTTACACTAACTCTAGATAATAATCGCGACGATTGTGTGCCATTGTTAAAGTTGTTGCGGAATGGGAGGTGAAGGAGGAAGAAGAACGAAATACAAATTATGATATTCGATATCTTGATCGACTACTTCACATTTCCTTACATATTTTTTTTATAGATGAAAGAAGAAGAAGAAGAAGAGCTGAACATAAAGTTTCAACTATTAAAAAATATAAAAAAAATAATATTCATAGTATTCATTTTGGTAAATGAAAAATAACAGCTTTTTATATATAATTAATAATAAATTTTTTATAAATAATTTTTTATGAATATTCTATTATAATAATATTATTCTATTATAATATTCTATTATAATAATATTATAATAATAATTAATATTAAATATAAAATAATATTCAATTTCTGAAATCGTTTAATATTATTAAAATTTAATTTGATAAAACTCTCACAAGCTATCACAATTTTGTTTAATAAATATCGAACATTTCGTAGATTATATCGCAGGATAATTAATTTAATTGTTTAATCTTTAATTACATTGAAAATTTGTCACTTAATATTCGATTGCCGTCTAGTTATCAAAATCGAATTTAGTTTTCGTTCAAAAATTCACGATAAGCGAGGAATATCTTGCTTGTTCCACGAGATTATTGTTATCCGATGTTTTTTTCGATATCAGCGATATAATGTTCAATATGAGCGATCCAAGAATTCTTTAAGTCGAGTTACAATTTGAAGTATTCCCCGAATATTGTGCATTGTCACATTCCACTTGGCGAATTACTCGCCTCGAATGATCGACGACCGAGCATTCGGAAAATTTTCGTATTCGATCTCTCATATTTCGTATCGCGAAGAGTCGCGCGGATTGGCCAGCCTGGGCGGCGGACGCAGTAATGTGCCGTCATGGCGACGCTGCCGCCGCGGAAAAATCCAACTCCCACAAAAATTTCGAAGCAGCATTTGACGCCGTTGCAAACGCTTCTGCAGCTGGGCTTCCCGAAGCACCGGGCGTACGTATCGCCACGCGGAATGTAGGGTCGGTGGCTGACGGCGTCGTTCACGTGGCGCGTCATTTTATGCGTCGCCCGATCACGTAAACAAACAGCTGTCAAGCGTCGCCTTGGCTGGCGTTATTTCGCATGACTAATTTTTGATCAAACAGACACACTTTGTCCCTAAACTCAACGTTTGGACGAGACGGATTGTCCCCGGAGTCCGGACGAAATTCCTTTTTCATTAGGATTTAAATGGTTCTGAGTACTCGAAGATGCACGCTTGATGTAGAATACTATAGAATATTATAGAAAAAAAGAGAATGTTGCAATAATTTATATCTATGCTCGGTATCATTGATAAAATTTTTAGGGAGAAGGCGCTGGCTGCGACGGGACACCGTGGTGTGCAATTAGCGTCAGACTGGTTACTCGCTCATGTGAGAGATCCGACTTTGGATTCTGATACACAGCGGCAATACGTTTTATACGCTTGTCCCACTGGACCATTAGCCGAGCAGCTTGAGGTGTTTTGGTCAGAGAGTAAAGATCTAAGATGGAACAGCGCGCACAATTTTATACCGCATATTACTCTTGTTCCCTTCTTTGATGTAAGACATTTGATTTATATGTACACTTTATAATATTTAAGCTACTTTATAATATTTAAGACTATTTGTCTTGAACAAAATCTGCATTTGAATATGTTTTTGTTATTCTTAAATACTTCCATAGGCTCCCGATGAGTTCACAGAAGAATTGACAAATGCTTTTGAAAATGTGGTCCATCAGGATGGATTGCACGAACATATCGAGCTGGAGACATATGTGTCGCATAATTTTATGGGTCTTTTCGTCAAGGATGTAAATGCAGAGTGGCTAAAGAACATCGCTGTTCGATATGTTAATAAACTCGCTGCTCTAGGTATCACTGCCGAACCACGAGTGAAGTCTCTGCATCTTACACTGGCTTATCAGTTTCCTAACATGTTATTTCATCCTCTCCGCTTGATGGTCGAGAAACTAGGACCAAACATATCGGCCAATTGGGAACTGAGATTATATTCGAGAGACTCGAGATTGCAGAATTTGCATGTGCACAAAGTAACGCACGCTCACGTGCCACGGGAGCACGACGAATTAGAATTAAGAGTAGGCGATTATATTTATATTCCAGAAGGAGCGTGCAATGCGTCCACGGACGGTTGGGTGGAAGGGATCTCTTGGTTGACCGGCATATCGGGCCACTTACCGTTGAATCATACCAAAAGGACCGCGGAATCGGATTCGTGGACGTTGCATGCCACTGTGCCGATCATTGCCATTGACAATAAATGCGAGAGCACGGAAGACGAGGATGTACCGAAAGTTAGGAGACCACCGCCAGTTCTATCTTCAAGTGATTCCGTCGATGCACCCGACGGGATATCCATCACGGAAGAGCCGGTAATTATTTTCTGAAGATATATCTCGTCGTAAAATTGTCAGCGGACTTTTAATTTATCGCTTTCAAACAGATGGCAGCGTCAGAAGCGCCTCAAACACCGTCCAGAGAAATCTTCATATGTCGACACGGGGAGAGGGTGGACTTCACCTTCGGCTCGTGGATTCCGTATTGCTTCGAATCGAACGGAAGTTATGTGCGCCGTGATTTGAATATGCCCAAGGAAGTACCATCCAGAAATATTCAAGATTTTCAAAATGACGGTCCGTTGACGACCGTTGGGGAGATGCAGGCGAGTTTGGTAGGCGAAGCCATGAAATCATCCAATATTAAGATAGATGTAGCCTTCACGTCACCGTCGTTACGTTGCGTCCAAACGCTCGCACATATCTTAAAGGGACTCGAATCTAACATTCCAATCAAAATAGAGCCAGGCCTCATAGAATGGTTGGCATGGTATCCGAACGGAATACCTGTCTGGATGACTTCCGAGGAATTGATAAAGGCGGGTTTCAACATAGACATTGATTACGATCCGATCGTGAAGGCTAAGGATCTCCCACTGAAAGAGAATGCCGCGCAGTATTACGAACGCAGTTACGATTTGACCAAGAAGATTATAGAAAGTACAGTTGGCAATATTTTGATAGTAGCACATGCTGCTTCCTTGGCTGCTTGCACCAGGCAATTGACCGGTGGTAGGATACCTCCGGCAGCTGAAGTCACTAGATTAGTTCAAAGGGTACCTTATCTAGCGTGCTTGACTGCACGTCAAGATATCGATGGTTGGCAGCTTCATCCTCCTCCCTTCCCACCAATTACCCATACCAGTAATAGCAGATTCGATTGGAAAGTTTTAATGTAAAGAATTACGCTACGCGAGCTTTTATCACCTCACAAAGCCTATATAAATATAAAAGACTGTTACGATACAATGAATTTTTACGCAGGATTTTATCTAATATCAATGATATTGCAACAATATTCAACGAATCCAGGAAACAAATTTTTTTCGGAAAGATATCGTTAATACGATGATATTGATAAATATGATAAAAGCTAGTCGATTGCACGACAGTTGAATATTTACTTCAGATTACGATCAATACGGGTATAGATCAATCAAGGTATAGTCTATGTTTTAATTATGAATATAGAACGAATACTAGCCAATGTATATTACTGGTATCGTGCTATACCAATCTGCTAAATATCTAATATATAGGCGATATACTAGTCTTGATTGGACACATTTTCTTGCCGAGACTTAGATGAGGCACTAATCAAAGAAAAAAGATAGTATTTATATATTTAAATATATAATAATATTTTCTGATTGTAGTATTCATGTTTGTTGCACATATAAGATATTTTACTCTTTAACGTAATATTATATATTGAGATAGACATGTACAGAGGAGTCAATAAGGTGCTTCTATACATATTGTTCACATTTTTGTCGATAGATAAACATTACACACATGAGCTTTATATTACCATTTCTTGAAGAATTTAGGGATATAACATGTGTCAATTAAGTGTGACGTTGAATCTAATTCAATAATATCTGCGTTGCATCATAATAAATTCTGATGCACAAAATGAAAATATATTTATAATACCGTTATCGATGTTACCTTTTACAGAAAATTACCGTTTATATGTACATACTTAGATCTGATACCGTTTTAGAAGTATGTTTAACGTTATCCCGCTTTTAAAATAGATAGAATATTCGTTTGTCAATCATGTTGAAAAAAAAACGCCAGCATTTATATATATATATATATATATATACATACATACATACATACATATATACATATGTGTGTGTGTGTGTGTGTGTGTGTGTAGTATATATATATATATATATATATATATATATTATTATATATATATTATA